GAAATAGTAATCACATTTTGCTTTGTATGAATGGACAATAGTGGTAAATGTTCGGAAAAACCAACAGCTGTAAATATTTTAATTCATTCCCCCTCGCTTTCTTATCTCAAACCCTCGAATGCGGCATCAAATGGTTCGTTCGGTTGTGTATTTCGCTACGAATTTGGTGAGGTTCTCACCCGCTTTGCTGCTATTGTTGATGGGGTTTCTATGCAAAAAAGGGGGCCAACTGTGAATAAAGATGAAAGGATTATATGTACACACACACAAATACACACGTGAAAGAGTAATTATTCACTAGGGATGAAATCCTCAATTAAGCGATTGAATTACCACCCACAAAAGAAATTGTCGGTGTGGCGAAAAGGAGTCAATTTGGCGCACACTGAAAATGCAATCTCGCCCATTCTCTCCTGTTTGTGTCCCCCACAGCCCCGTCATTAGGGTGTGTGGAAGGGGAGTTCCCCGGCAATTTAGCCTCCCAGTGGAAGCATGAGTGCGGTAAGAAAGGTATACAGAGGTGAGCTTAAAATTGTTAACACTTGAACTGATGTGGTGGTCTGTGCTTTTTTCCCATTGGTCGTGAATGTATGCAATTGAGATGGAGGATAGCTCCCATGTCATATGGAGTGCGCTGAAGCTAATTCTTGCGGCCAGCTATAAAACTATGTATGCGATGAATGTCTTTATGATGGTGCTCAAGGTGCCGCTTATGGTGCGCAATTAAACGTGTTAAGCCACAATGGTGTAGTTATAAATGAAACAATAAAGCGCTTACCATCCGAAGGGATGATAGGGGGCAGGAATTGAAAGGGCGCGGAGACATAAAAAAGCTGGAGAGATGAAAGATGTGCCTCGAATATAAACTTCACTATTATGTATACTGTTCAACGTGGAAATATTTAATTTCTTCATTTGCATTGTTATTCACCCGTGACGAGGGCGCGGAAAGAGATTTAAAAAAGCGAGGAAAAAAGCGCGATTTGTGTTCATAAAAGCGAGAGCTCAATAAACCGCGTTGACCGCAAGGGAAAATTTTCCTCCAGACTATGAAATGGGTAAAGCTAGTCGAGGACTGAGCATGAAGGACAGGAGCTGCCGCACAATTGTAAAAGAGTGCCTGGAGTTACGCTTCCCATTTGCCCCGCGCTCACACCCAGTCTTGGAACTTTGTTGCATTTTCATGATTTGCAAATAAAGTTTTCAGCAACAAAATTATAAAAGTCTCCGTGGAGTTGCTCACCCACCTGAGCACACCTCAGTGCACCTAAGAGGTGGCGTGCGGTGGAGACAAAAAGGGAGAGTCATTAGTGAATATTTTATACAGCAAATCGGCTTTATGTTGTTGCCACAAAAAAGTACCACTCCCAAGTGTCTGGGATTTTGTGTTCACATGTAAACTTTTACGCTTAAGCACGTCTTCGGCTCTGTCTGTAAAATCTCTGATCATTTCACAATGAGTTTTTCCTCACTTAAATGCCGGTAATCGTCTTTTCCAGGAGATTTTCCACCCTCATTCGTGGAACACATGAGAAGGATTCAATTAAAATTGGACGATTTATTTGATAGCGTGACACGTATTGCTTTTTAAGTGGCGGAGCTTTAATAAGCTTACGACGAGAAACTCATTTGGAATCATTCCCGGGAACTTATTCAGCGTGCTAGTCTCCGTCAGATAAGGCAAAACCTGCCGAGAGTGTGATACAGTATGGGAAGTCTGGATATCGTCAGAGTCTATGTATTCATAAGTGGCGTAAAAAGCTGAAATCTCGGGGGATTTTATGTTTCGCAGTGAGCTACCCCTGGAGGATAGAGCATGGAATTGCGGAGCTTTTGAGAGCTTTCAGTGGTGCATTGTCTGTTGCAATTCTCCTGAAAATTTGTTTACATGTTCAGCTGTGTGGCGCGGGACTGCAAGTTGAGAGACGCACGATACGAGGTGAGAAGACTATCTCCCGGAGTGGAGTTAATATTGTCCCTGTCCCGGTCCTGCAGATGCCACTCGGGGTGAGTTAATGCAATGTGGAGAGGATGCGACACCAGTGCTCTGGGTGGGATGATGCAAACCTTGCCTTCCTATTTGGCAGTTTGGTGGCAAGATAAAGAACACTCAGTGCCGAGGAGGACTTGAGGGGTGGCCTTTTCGAATGAAACACAAGCATGGGTATATTGTGGTGAGCTTTTGCTATTCATAATACCCACCGTCTCTGTGGCAATTCACCCTCTATCCTCCCCCCCAATACCGATCCTAACCACTCTCGACAGCAACTTCGAGTTGCACCTGCAGAAAAGCCCCGGACCTCAGCAGCCAAGTTCGCCCTGCAGCCGCCGTCAACTCATCTGTGGTCGCCGGGAAGCCAGATTGAACGCGAGAGGCGCCGCGGTTTTGCTTTCGTAAATCATTTTTATGAGTGAAAGTTGTACGATGGCGTTTGCTTTTTTACGACACTCTCGAGGATACCGCATGGGAATTGTCACACAGACTTTTTATTGCCCTCACTGATGTGCCGGGCAAGATTCGCCTTAACATATCGCAGCATCATCACTTAGCGGAGTGACTTGCATTACTCGCACCAGAAGGAACCAAGGCGGCAGGGCATTAATAAAATATAATGCGTCAAAATGGTCAACACACTTCTCGCCTTTTCTTCCCGCCACAGATGGAGATTTCTTTAGAACTTCATTCTGCGTTTAAGCCACTTACTCCACGGATTTCCCAGAGAGCACATAATTGACCCCGGTGGTGGTTTTTTTTCCTTCCTTTTACACCCGCATTCTTTATAGCTTTGTGAATTTAAAGTCCCATTCATCGAGACTCTCTTTTGGAGATGAATTCTAATCATTTGAAATTCACTGGGAAGATGATTTCCACAATAAAGCACTAAGAAGACGTCTCGAGCAATTTTCAAGAGCGAATCCCGTTCTTTCAGATAAAATAAAAAGCTCTCCCAGGTTAATTAATTGGCCTTTAACAATCCTTCCCTCATTTCAGTCTGCCGAGATGGTGTATCTACCTTTTGACTCTTAGCATCCCTTTTCATCCGCCCACAAAAGAATCTTGCTTGTTTAAAAGTCTATTCTTACGGATTTCTCCAACCAACTTGTATTTCAGATCGCTTACAACCGCGAAATAATTAATCAGTCCATGAAGGATGCTTCTCAATAAATCCATAATATTTTTTGTTTCACTGCAATTCTTGGTAGGATTTTCTACGCCGTACATCAGAGAGTTCTGCCTGCAATACCACTCATTTGCACCAATTCAATTTCCTCTGCATATTCCCGTGAAAATTCCAATGGAAAAAGACCGTAGATACAGCGAAAAGCAAATTTCAATATCACCATTTCGCTACAACACATAGTCAGGGTATGAGAGAAAAATTTTCTAGCATTTGCAATTCATTCTGGCCGACGAGGAATGTGTTTGCACTATCCATTGAAGATCCTTCACTGATGCTGTTTCACTTGGTAATGCCATCTGAAATATTAATGTGGAAAAAATTGCTCAAATCGTGGATAAATAAACAATGCGTTGAAGGAATTAAATTCTCCCGCCAAGTCTCATCTCTTGCCTCTATTCTTTGGAGACATCCCGTGTCAGAGTTGAAGGGAAAAACGACGAAATGCGAGTAAAAATTCTGTGTGTGATGGTTTTTGTGCCATGAGGCGGATTATCATGAAAATGAGAAAGGCACCAGGCTCACACATCCTTCTGGGCTTCTGCATTATAAAAAATGAATTTTGAATTAAATCTTAATGGAGTTTCATTCGTGGCGCGAGGATGGGAGGTTAATCCTTTCACCGCCCCAATCACGCACGTTGCTTCTCGCCCTTCCGCCCCTCGTGTCTTTCAGCTTACTGACACAATTTTCCAGTCGAAATTTCTCACTGCTTCCCAAGCCCGTTGTGCCAACACTTCCAGTGAATCGCACGCATGTCCTGGCAGGATGGAGGGAATTTCACCTCACTGGAAGGCGCGCTTCGTTGCCGAGGGGAGCCAAAAGCGAGAGGGACAATCTGTTGCGCTTCGCTGTTTGCACTCTCTTGTGACTTTCTTTCGCTGTGTGTTACATGGAGAGGAAGGAAATTGCATCCTCTCATGCGGGACAATGATGTTGAAAAATTAGGCCACTTCTGAATTCATATTCTCATCCACTCTAGTCGCAGAACATCACGGAAGATTCTATTGTTGGGGCCTTTGGAGACCGAGACGCTTTCCATTCATGCCAATTTTGACTCTCAACCATTAATTTTGTGAAATTATTTCATGAAATGCCGAGAAATTCAATTACATCCTTATCTCATTCTTTAAGAATGTGTCAACAAAAAGTTCAATGTTGGAATTCGTTTGTGAACGTTAGGAAAACACTATTGCAAGTTGTCCAGTATATCATATATCATTCTGTCTGAAACCTCTTTATCGGAAACTTTTGAAAACGTGTGCATTTCAAAAATCTGGGTGTATTCTGTGTGTGTGTGTGTTAACCGCAGCACTGCACATTTCCTCCGTTTACTTATTTTTTATTCATTCCTTTTGGAGGAATTTTTCATTAATATCCAACCAAACATCTATGCAAAGCTGAGCCAAGTCTGGCAGCATTTGGTGCATCATCATCATTTTGGAGTACAAATGCAGCAGAAATGTGCAAGAGAGAAACACAGGAGGATTTTCATGTCCGGTGTAACGTTTTATTCATTGACGGTGGAAAAAAGCGAGCGTAAAAACCATCCTCAAAGGGAGAAATCATTTAGCTGAAAGGGTTGTTGAACTTTTTAATAAGCTCCCAACGTGGGATATGCTTAAGCGGGGGATTCATATTGGAAATTGAATCGAAAGCTTTTTTTGCCATTCATCCCCTCTAATCGAGTCGACGAGTGGAAGTTCTCCTCAAAGTGTTAGGGAAAGTCCCCACCCTCGGAAGCGCATTCCTGGAAGGAGAGCTTTCCAGTGAGATATATTTCAGTGGCAGAGTTCACGGGGGCCGCCAGTATCTCATCGGTCGTCGGGGAGCGCAAACTCACGTGCTTTCACTGAGGACTTTTCTCGTGAGGCGGACTTCTCGAGGCGAGTCCGAGTGCGAGGTCTCTTGAAGTGAATTCAATTGTATAAGTGGAACTGCCATGTTAGGACAAGGAGGAAAAATATGAAATAACTCACCCAGTGAAAGCACAACTGGGAGTAGAAGAGCACAATTTTCTGTGTTTTTTCTCCCTCTTGTTGATGTCTCTTTCGCAATTGCTGGTGTGTAGCACGAACTCTTTTGCCATCTTTCGTGATTTCCTTAAAGTAATGGCATAAAACTCAACCAAGTGCAATGGAATGTGCCGAACTCTAGAGTGAACGCAGTTTTGAGAAACTAATCATGTTGAATTAACACCAGAAGTTATCGTCTCTTCAGCGAAAACTTTCCAGTCAGATGATGTTGCAATGCGTTAGAGAATTTGCAATTTCCATTACTTTCAACACGCTATAGGCAGAAAGTATTTTCCCATATGAGCTCCCGGCTAAACAATTTTATTTGAAGGAAAACCTCCTGGCGTGTAGTTGCAAAATATCGATTGCTTCGCTGCGCGCCTTTTCCGCATCGTTTGAATCTTAAATTCATGAAAAGTGCATGGATTTTGCATGCGAATGGTTTTATTTTATGAGTGTCTTACTGGTATTATAGGTAAAAAGGGGTTCTTGTCAAGGTTATGCTGAAGCTGAATATCTATGGATTTCACCCATTGTTCCGACCGAGTGTTTTCGCGAGTCTAGACAGTTGTAGTGCCTCCCTTAAAGCCCATCTCAGTGAATATTCGATGTGAAGAAGGAAGCACAAAGTGCAAAGTTCACAAACTAAGCATTTTCATTGAACCAGCTACATTCTTATTTGATATAGCTGGGAGGAGTGTATAAAGCATTCTCTGCTTTTAAATATTCCAACAGTATCACATCTCACTCATATAACATTTTAGTAGGAAAGAGACATATTTTCCTTGAGAACATCCACCTTTTATGTGTGTGTTGTGCTGAGAGAAAGCGGAGAAGGGCATAAAAAGGTAAACTAACCCCCTGAAATGCAAATAAAGTGAATTAAAGTGCTTGTGTGAGCGGCAGGAAGGAATGGAAGAAAGTAGAAAATCCCATTGAAAGCTTAAAGTTTTTTTCAAGAATATCTCCAGTGTGATATCGGATAAAAAGAGGTGAAACTGGTGAAAGAGTAATGTGATCCCATCATTTGACCTCTATATACACAAGCACGACCCCAGAGCAGCTGCTCAGACGACGAAAAACCCAAACCCTCCGCCGAGGAGACGACACGACAGCGCGTCAATTGAGTGAGGAGGCAACGAGGGAGAAATGATGAGGCTTCTGTGGAGTATCATCACGACATTTTTCACATTCTCCACACTATGGCAAGGTGAGAGATCAGCATTCAAATTGATTTCCATCCCAATTCATTTGACTTTATCCATCACTCAGGGCGAAATGAGAGCCCAAAGTGGGGGCGAGGAGATGTTGTGCGAAATTGCCACATTTTTCACTCTTCTGCCCCATCTCACACTCACCCCACCTATACAGTCGATTAATTTCCATTAAAATGACTTTTCAACACTCCTCGGAGTGGGTTTCTGTGGCACTGAGAGGCTGTCTCGGCGAAAGTGTGCCACACTTACCAGGCGTCTCCACTGCACCAGGCGCCTCCACAGTTCTGTTTCATTTGCAGCCATTTATGGCATGTAATTTGAACCAAAAATGAGTGAGATTTCGGCACAAAAAAATACGTCTCTGTGAATGATGGAGGGTCAAAATATTTGGCGTATATTTCCATGTATCAAATTAATGCAATATGTCGTCCTGATGAACGATTTACAGCATTTTCAGCATGTCACATAATTTCATTACAATGCACCAACTCTTGCATCATTGGTGGCTCATCATTCTGCCCATCCTCCTCGATAAATGTGGCAAGAGACACCCGCAGTCATATCTATGTCGTTCATGTGGAAAAAATGGTGCTCTTTTTGCCCATACATTTAGCATAAATTTCAGCAATGGTGCTGGCAAATAGAGATGTTTGCGGCCGATGGCGTGAGGAGGGAAAAAGTTCGGAATCGATAAATTGATGTAATTTACCATTAATTGTGTACAACATTTCAATCTCTCACCCTGCCCTCATTTACTCCGTTTACTCCACACACTGCCTAGATTTGACCGAATGGAAGTTTCACCTCGTCGGGGGTTGGAAGTTCATCTGAATCGCAGTCAATGGTGGGGTCGTGAGAGATTGAGAAACGAGAAGATTGTATTCTTGCTTGTGAACATTATTTGGGTCATTGTGTATCCGAAGAATGGTGCTCAGTCGACAATAATTGGAGGAAAATTGGGGGTGTGAGCTTTAAGCACAGTTTAGTCACTCCACCGTGAAACTTTTTTCTCCTCTCCAACCTCTTTTTTCCTCTCACATTGAGGCGAACGACGCTGAGTGGGTGAGATTGTGGGCTGAGGGTGGCAACAATAGAGCGAAAGAGAGATTGAAATTATTCTCATCATTTAAAATCCTTTAGCCATACACTCAATGGAGCAGTTTTCCCTCGTCTTTTTTCCATCATTCGCCTCCCAAGCTCACTCTGCGTGGAGAAAAAGTTTCTCCCCGCACCACATTGTGAGGATTAGGACCGATCAATGGGGGCAAAAGATGGAGGAGAGCAAGAGATTAGAAGTAACGGGGGGTGAACTAACATTTGCCCGCAACTTCACTTCCTTCACCTATTCGCACTCCACTCTCTCATGTGCAGTGAATGTCAGTGAAATTGTCACAAATAATTGCTTCACTGTGCAAATAAGCCACTTACACCACAGTGTAGTGTATAAATTTTCAATTACCCCAATTTTGTAGTGGCTGGAAAGCTTTTTGCCCAGCCAAGCCACAAGCTTTCTCAGTTTGTCCCAAGTCAGCGTTCCAGAAATAAGTTTCAATTATTTCTTTTGGGGGGTAAGCACAAACGACACAATAAGAATGAACAATTCCAATTCTCTGCTCCGTGTGTCTTTTTTCTGTCCTCCTTCATTCCTTTTCTCCATACACCGTCTCCCCAGGCTCATTCTTCTCCACGCTTTTTTTTATTGTGCCATCAACATTAAGCTTCCCAGTGGGAGTCAGAGTGTGGTTGAGCACCCAGGAAAACATTCAGCCGAGGAGAAATTCTTTTGTCATCTCCACGTTTCTCTTAATGTGGTGCAGCAGAGCCATTTGAAAATTGCAGACCGTGTCATTTGTGCACCGAACCTACCCACAGGGTGCATTTGCTCCTGGAATAGCAGACGTCGTGGGTGTGGGAGTACTTCTGTCAACATCTCAAGGATTAATAATTCACCCGGATAGCGTCTCATGGTCAATTTTAGATATCATGGGCGAAAAACTTAGTGCGGTATGAATAAGACACACTAGACGAAATATTTCATACAATTCTCGGAGTATTTGCTAAGATGGGGAAATTTGTCGCCTGCCATATTCATTCCGTCGCATAAAGCATTACAATTTGCCATTGTACAGATATTTTCTGGCAAAGTATAGCATAATCCATGGGAAAATGCTTTCGCCATTGCCACAGAAGACAAGAATTTGCGAGAGAAACCAAAATCAGTTTATGCACTTGATCCATTTTCGAAGACTATTTGCATATTTTTACCAATTTCCCACCAATATCCTTCAGTCAAAAGCGTGGTGAAAAGGAATTCGGAGCGCGATTGTGGATAAAAGGAGAGAAAGCCAAAATATAAATTTTCCACTTATCGAATTTCAATTTCTTTTCAAATATATCGCTATACATTCACCGCAGCTTTCTTTCAACTTTTGGTGGTTTTCATATTTAAATTTCATGCGAACTGTGTGAGAAGTTGTGCGGGTGTGGTGGAAAAAAATGTTCCTAAGTTTTCCATCCAACACATATTTTGTGTTGTGAACACTCCTGGATGAAAGTTTACCTTGCCAACAGAGAGACCCTCTTGAAGTAGGAACTTTCTTATCAAATGATTAAGAAGTCTGGAAATATCTGGTTTTGAAAGGGGTGGCATTCATGTCCCAAAGAGGTATTTTTCCTTTATGAGAAGTTATGAGACATTTTCCAGGGCTATTTTATATTCTAAATAATTTATGATTTGCATAAGCAATCACGATTTTGGCTTTTAAATGTTTCAATTGTGCCTCATCTTATCGTGATGGGAATATTGATACGATATTGGACGCGTTTGGGTGTCCCAATTCGCAGACATATGTACAAAATAGGGAGCATTCCATTGGAGAAATTGACAAAGAGAAAAATTGTGAACGTGAAGGGAAAAATGATTTTCAAACGAGTTTATCAGCAAGTTTAGGTCCGAAGAGAGTGAAAAGTAGTGAAATCGACTTTGTCCCTGCTAGAGAAACCCTATCCAGATAATTGGATTAGATTTCTTCAGTCCGAACACTGTGCTATTTTCTTTCACTTAGACATTACAGCAGTTTCTGTGAGAATGCACAGCCAAGAAGTGTGTCTGAAACTTTTCCCACCCCCAGAATTACACTCCAGACACTGTGTTATCTCACACGAAATTGCTAATATATTCAATGATTCAGCGATAAATTCATTTTGAATCTCTTCCCATGTCCTGTAGTTGTAACTTGCGTGATCTGTTCTGAATAATTTCTCATATGAATTTGAAATTCAATCAAGATGTTTCAAGAACACTTGTATGCTAAATCTTAAGTGTGGCAGTAGACAAAGGTCTAAAGCAAATATTGCATGAGGATGGCAAAAATAGACTTTTCTCCGAGCCCGAAAAATAGCACTGAACCGGAACACCTGGGAAAGGATCCCTGAGGAAATCGGGTAAATGGGAGAATGGCCTCGTGTCAATTAGTGTGAAACATTATATTGAAATAATGAGCAGAATCACATGTTTGAAATAGTAAAGCGACCAAAAGCGAAATAGTTTATAAGTACAGCTGTGAATAGCTGTTTGGGAAATCAAGTTTGTACACGAACTTCTTTCTGTACCGAATTCCAGTGAAATTTTCGAATTTATTGAATACATTTGATCATTTAATTTGGTGTGCATTTGATGATAATTTAATAGAATTAGGATTTCTGCAATTTCACAGATGAGTGACTGAATTAAGTTTCACCGTTTTCACGGAAGTCTGTGAGAAATTTACCAACTTTGAATAGCTTTCACATGAATTTCGGATGCTCTGCATCGGAACTGGGCGGAATTCTCACCTCATCGCAGCTTTCAGTGCTGTGCAAAATATCCCTGAAAACTAATATAGACAAAATTTCGAGGTGATTCCGCTCAAACTATCAAAAAGTTACGCCTAAATACACAACAGACCATGAACTGGTGGTCGTTCTGGGATTGTTGGGGTGGTTGCGTTTGCAGGGTGGCTGAGTGCGGGAAGTGAGGGCAGAATCACATGAATTTATCAAGTGCTGATTCTATTTCGACACATTCAAGCCCCTCCGAACACCCACCCGGCTCCCATTAACATATGTTGTAAACCCACTGCCATCCTACGTGTATATCATTTGAAACAATAAACAATGAGAATTGCGTAATTAATCTTGTCGTCGGTGTTATTTAATGTGATGTTTTCAAAGCAAAAGGGCTGTCGACATTCAAGGGTAGTGGCGTTGAGTAGATTCACGAAACAATGTTAAAATTCGTGTCTTTCTATTTATTCTCAAATGAGTATTTAAATAAATATAGCGGGAGAGTCGCAATATTAGGTGACTGTTCAAACAAACACGAAATGCTATAATTAGTCTTATTCTGTCCTACATAATAAAACAATTTGAAATATTCATTTATGTATCTGTTTTTGTCTTTAATAATGTGAACTATTCATAACATTTTCGCATTGATTGAAAATGCATGCATGAGATTAATTTGGAATCACAATGCGTAATTGGGAATAAAATGGGTATAAAATTCGTATTATACTCGAATTCAAAGGACGGATTGTTAAGCGAGTTTACAGCAAATAATTAATGTAAAAATATCGAGAGCATTTTACTGTTAATTGATCATGTCAGTGATATGCTGAAGTATATCAATATTCAATTAACATTTTTTTCCCTCTGAAAATAAATCCTCATTTTATATGCTTTCATGCTTCTTCTCATTCACAATAATCATCAATTTCACCATTGAGTGGAGCTCCAGTGGTGAGGAGGAGCCAGTTGGGGGTTAAATTCTCAGGCAAACAATAGAGTTGAGTCTGATGAAAACAACGAGTGTGGTTGATGAGACAAGATTAGGTGTTGCTTAGGAATCCTCTGAGAGTTTCAATTAAACACGAATCCCTGTGTCTTTGGCGCAATTTTCACGCTTAAAAATGTATCTCCATCGTTGAAGGTGTATGTGTGACGCGTTGAGAGACATCAAGGAAAATTCGGAAAGCTCAGGAAAGTGTGCGGAGAAGACAATTGAGATTATGGTATCATCGTTCTTCCCCATTGTTTCGCAGTGCTTTAGACGCCATCAATGGCATAGAATGTTGATTGTCACCATAAATTGGCGGGATATTCGGGGTGGAGCTGAGGCAGACTGTGGCATTTTCCAGGGCCAGGAAAAATATTTTCTGACATTTGTCGAATTTCCCTCCACACCACGATGGATTATGGAGGGTAAAGTGAGACAAACGATTTTTCTTTTTAATATACTCACTCTCTTTCGGAATTGGCCTCATATAGCAAAAGGAAAGCTCACGATAAGAAATGAAAGCTTGTGAGTTCTGTGATTCTCCTCTCAGTTTTCTTACACCTCTACTTTTACATTATTTTTGATATATTGGTTGAACACAATTTTGGCGTTTTCTTATTTATAATCGAACGTTGAAGTATGCAACACAACATTTTACATACATTTTTTATTCCAATTTTCCCGCCTGTTTACCGTAACTGCGAATTTCTGCACAAGAGTCTCTGTCTGAATCGGCAAAAGGATCGAGGAGCGAGTGAGATTTGTTTGGGGGTGAAAAGTGAGGGCCAAGAGGTGTCATTATACATAATTCAGAAGCTCATGTAACCCACTTTCTCACCCCACACGAAGGAAAATCCATAACTCTGGGTGGGCGAATGGAAAACGGAGTGTAAAAAAAGAAACACGAGAGCATGACAGAAGAAATTCGATCATTTGTCAAAAGTTCCCGGTGAAATGCTACATAAACGAGCAACCTGCAGTGGTTGGGGGGCAAAAGAGGCGACAAAAATGCCACTAAATCCCCCCGAGATAGCCAATTTGGTGACAATCAATATTCTCCGAAGGCTTCTCCTCGTTTTTATCCTGTCTCTTTTTCAATCCACTTTATACGCACTTTTACGCAAAACTCCCGCTGTACTCCGTCCTCTTGAGGAGCTTTAAGCAGACACGCCAATATGCGAATGTCTGGTTGGGGAGAAAAAGTGTAATTTTGCGTGTTTATTGTTCACCTTCCTTCTCAGCACATTTCACTGTAGAGCGTGAATTTCGTAGGAAACCCATGAAGAGTTCTCCATCGACAAGTAATCGAATCTACTGCAATCTCCTCTGCATGAGATTGGTGAATTTTTGAAGGAAATTCTTAGAACTTCCTGCAAAAGCTCTCAAGTAATTTCCGTTGATCTCATTCTTTCACATTTTTCCTCTTAAAAACCTTCCTTCGTGCTTCCCCGAAGTACCTTCATTTCCACAGAGATAGAGGGAGAGAGAGGGAGAGAGTTCTTTCTACATACAATTAAATTTTATGCGTGAAATTTCCCTTGGATGGAAAATTGATTTTGAGTGATAAATTTATTGGGTAAGTGATTGTGATGGAAGTTGTGGTGCGAATGCGTGGAAAGTCTGCCACAATCGTGTTGGTGGAGAAAACGCTTTTTTCCGCACCCATACTTGGTCTGGTGAGCATCAAAAGTAGAATTGCATTTGGAGCTTTCAAGGGGGTGAATGTGATGGGAATAAAAGTGGTTAGAAATTGCTATTGAGCAAAATATGTGGGCAACATTTCAATTGAACCATTAATTCTGATACGATGTTTTAACTCGCAGCACTTTAGACGATTTCCATGTGAATTATCCATTATCATATTGAATTGAAAGTTGTAAAAAAATCTTGAAGCTCGAATGGTTTTTTTTTTATTAAAGAAGAAAAAAACAGTCAATTTATTGTGCCCAATTTGATGTGAAGAAATGTGCCTTGGAATCAGTAGCACCAATAAATTCTTGGTATTTCATATGATGGGTAAAAATTGTAATGGAATATTTGTGTGTGTGTCTGAAATATTTTATAGTGTTTACTTAAATGGTGATATTTGCGATGAAAATTACAAAATAATACAACCCCATTGAAATTGTTATTTTAAAATTGGAGCACAATAGCGGAGAACACACGCGAGAATATTCAATATGCATGAAAATTTATTCATCCGAGGATATCAAGAGGCAAATATTGCCTCAAAACACTCTTCAATTGCCATATAGAGGAGGCTTTCATCTCCGATATGGGATTCTTGCCTATATTCTGGATTTGAGACTGGGCCGTGGAGAAATCCCTTCAAACGGAATACAAGAAACGTCCATTTATCCCTGACCCAGGGGCTATTTATTTTTCTCAATTTCTCAAATCCCACCTCCTGCTCAGCTCGGGATCGTGAATTCTCTAAATTCTCTGTCGCCTCGCCCGGCGGCAGCGGGAGAAATCATCTGACCCACATTGTCAAGTGATGTAATGGAAATTCCTACCGGATTTGCCATAAAAGTGCTTACCGAAAAATGTCCCGATAAGGAGATAGAAAGAAATTTCATTAAAATGATAAAAAGCACATTTCCATGGTGTGCGCTCTTGCTTCTCTTTGAACTGCCATTCTCGCATGCAATGCTCTCGATTCTGCCCGGACTCAATATCCTTCTCTCCTGCCCAACCATCCTGACTGAAATTACGTGCGCTTTTTTAGTCCAGCATGCGCCGGAGTTTCTCACGTGCTTCCCAGATCTCTTGTACTCATGGGCAAAATATCACAGTGAACAATGCAATAGGTAGCATGATCTCTGTTATTTGGGATGAAAATTGCGAATTTATATTTAATTGAAGCAGTTTGGGGGAAAAAATGAAACATGATAGACTATTTTCAATCAATAATTATTATTTTGGAGCACGATATGCCGTTCAATTTATAGCAATTTCATTCCGGAAAATGAATATTTTCCATTAGCTGAATTTTCTCCACAACAGGCTCATGCATTTTTGGGGAGAAAATATGTGGAGTACAAAAATAGAAGAGAAAATTGAGAAGAGCACTTCATTATATATCAGAGTTGTCTTGTATAGAGGATTTCGAGACTGTTTAGAGCCTCAAAATAATTTTTGTCTGTACGTGAAAAATTCTAATTTATGCGTAAATGTGTGAATTCTGCATTACTTACACCATCAATTGTACATTTCCATACATCACAATGAATATTTCCAGTTGAATTTCCACAGAAAATGAGGTACATGTACATATCACAGACATGGAGCTTGAATTTATTTCTCGTAAGCTTTCGGCACAATTTTCATGCTTTGTTCGTCTTCCTCTTCTTAACCATTGCTCATCAAGGATAAAACGAATTTTTATCTTGACGTAATTTTTAGATTAGAGCCATTGTGGAAGCATTTCGGGAGGAAAAATATCCGACTCTATAAAAATGCCCAGAGCTTTAGTATGCTTCCGCCGAAGAGACAATTTCATCTAACGCTAACTTGCAATTCATTTGAAGAATTTCTCTCAAATCTCATCTGATTACTCACCGCTTTCACGGAAATAGAGTGGTGAATGAGATCATTAAAATTCTGGGAATGTGTCTATTTTTCCTTCCTCAGCCATACCAAGCATTCCCTCACGTTTGAATATTTCAAGCCGTAAACATGGACGGGGCACAACATAATCCTTATTTAATAGAGATCTAGTGCTTGAGATAAAGTTTCTCTCCCAGCAACATTCGATATCTTAATTTTTTATAGAGTTCCGCCATCATTAAGGGTCTCCTTTCCTGCCTGCGTCTTTCCATTCTCGTTCACGTCCCTCCCCCCGTCGATAGCACGGGAAATGTGCAAGAGCCCTTGTTTGGAATATTGACGAAGGACGGAAAGATAAAATTCCTGTGAATTGCAATAAAAGTTTCTCCTCGATTTGACTTGAGATGCCTGGGATCATCTTTCATAATGCCTCCGCAAAGTCGCTACGATGGAAATTTCATTTGTCGATGATTAAATTAATTCCTCGGCGGGAAATTCGCATGGCGAAGAAATATCGCGCGACCCTTGCTCATTAAATTCATGGGACAGCCGGGAAATAATTAAAAACCTCATTCTCTTGGTTTGGGGGCCGCCTTAAATTGCCCAAAGGTGTGTGCTGGTGTGTGTGTGTATGTGTCAGACTTTCTGATAAAGCAAAATGATAAAGAATCAAATTTTCCCCCTTGGGGGCCACAATGCGGACGAATCCGGGGAGAGACGAAGGAGCGATGGAAAGAGGGGTTGCGTGGAAAAATATTTGGAAAACGTGACTGACATTTTTCCCTCTCTTAAATTTTCCACTTGAATTCTCAAACACACATCCCTTGAGTGTGGATCAACGATTGTCCAAAGGAGATTTTCCTCTTCAAATTTGTATCATCTACAAATTTCCTGTTAAACTGGCACTACTTGTATGTTTGACTAACCATTGATTCGAGCACGCACTCGAACGGGAGGGGCACGGAACTCTTCAGGGAAATATTTGACATTCCTGGTCAAGTGTTCAGAGCCCTTCTCTCGCCACAGAGGTATTTTCCTCGCGTATCAGTGCCACTGTTCTCCACTTAATTAGAGCCTAACTTGGTAATCATATTGTAACTACGCTCATTTGCAGGTGTAATTTGTCTTCGGCTTGTGCGACTCGTGGTGCCAGCTTACAAATTCCGCGGAGAATCGGCGCACTTGGAGTGTCTCTACGAGCTGGAGGGCAGTCGCGAGTCCGGCAATGACGATGGCTACAATTACGGTGGCCATTTCGATAGCGACGAGCGGGAAACTCTCTACTCCGTGAAATGGTACAAAGACAACGAGGAGTTCTACCGCTTCGTTCCTCGGGCGAATCCTCCGCAGCATAGCTATAAGGTCGATGGCGTTCGAGTGGATGTAAGTACCATTATGTATGTAAATCCTTGACGCATTTCTGAGCAATGATAAAGCATGAATTCACGAGTGATCTCTATGGGAAAACGAGCCAAGTACAGCGCAAATGTTACACTGGAATTGACCATAACCACTCTCAGTCAGTGAGCTCATCCCGAATGAAATAAAATTATATTATTTCTTTCGAAATAAATGGAAACTTTCATAAAACTTTAATTACACTGCTCTACATTCGACTCATCCTGACAATTCTTCAGGATTTAGTGTGGAAAAACTTCTGAATATGCTTAAACTTTTCTGCGATTTTTCTGGTCTCTCATCAGTTCCGCACTAATTGGTATTAATTAAAGCTCTTTCAGCTTCATTGAGACATTATGAAATCCTCTGTATACATACAGAATTTTTCCAATTGTAGCTATAATGAGTTTCTTCGTGTTAAATCAATCCATTGTTTCTCCACGGAATTTTCCCGGAAAACACGAAAAATTGAGCAAATATTACCACTTCCCGTCGCTTAAGCGATCGTCTCCATACTGTGAAAGCGTCTTCTCACCTGCTTCACAATACTTTACCCACCAGGAATATGTGAGTTTGAGCAAATATTACGACAAATTGTGCGGTGAATTCACATGAGAAAAAACTGCGAACGGAGAATGCTGAGGCGGAGTACAGAGGAAAACAGAAAAGTGTGACAGATGATAGGGAATAAAAGTCAAACTGGTTGACTTGAGTGAGCGATAAGTACTCGAATCTCCTTTCTATCTACATAATGCGATAGACTTTTTTCCTCTCATTGCTCTCATCGTCGGCAGATTCCATGTCACACCCGGTGCCACCCTTGGGGTGTTGCGGGGTGAAGCAATTTAAACCCACTTTGGCGCGTGTTGCGTGCAAATTGTGGATGGAAAATCGAAGGAAATTGAAAGCAGGGAAATTTATTTTTTTATTTCGTCAATTGCTCCGCATTCTCCCACTCAAGAAATGCTGAAGGAAAATACATTGAATTTCCCTTCAGCCCCTGAACTAAATGTCTCTCATAAATCGATGGTGGGAATAACATACCAAATTGTGGGTGAGATGAAATGTATATTTCATTAATGGGACACAAATCAATTTCGGGGAAAAATAATAATTTTTTGCCCTAGCAAAAGGTGGTATATAATAGATATATGTATTGAGAAATTTTGAAAAGGATTTCGAATTGAAATTAAAGTGATTCAGCGCACATATTTGTCAACGATATTGGGAATAATAAACGCTACCTGTGTTTATAGAAAACCACAATAAGCTACTCATATTTTTTCAGGATAAACAAGTCGATTTGAATAGCAATAATCACTCAAATGTGAGGACAAATTCATCAAAATGGCATTCAAATGAATGTACCGTGAAAAGTGAAACATAAATTCGTGGAAATTGAGGGGATTGTTTGTTCAAATGCCCCGGATATTTAGGAAAAAAATGTCAAGCGTGGTTATTGACAGAGATAGGGGACAAATCATACAAGTGACCACAAATTCAACTTGGGTGATTTACTCTAAGCCCTTTCCAAAGCCCGGCCAGGAACTTTACAGGGTGGAACGTTTCGAAACTATAATGTATATATATGTATGCTGAAAACAACATTCCATTCACATATGAGCCACCAAAGCATGCATTTATGGCATAACTAAATTCACATATAAAGATATTCATAAACCTATTCTTTGGTAACGAATTCCTATTCAGTTAGAGTACCCTGTATTGTCCCTGGATACTTCATAAATTATTCACTTACCCCGGAATATGATTTATCGTGGAGATTGTGGTTCTCTCAATAATTTATTTGATAACTATTTATTTCCTATTTTCCTTTATTATTTATTTAGGGTTGTATTTGACTTATTATAAAATATGATTGTGTGTTGTATTGAATCACATCGTGCTGTCTTATTAAAGTGTATTATTTCAGCTTTAAAATGCCTCTTCTTTCTGGTGTCCCTCTGACTTAAATGTATATACTTTCTTGAGCCTTTCCATTTTGGGAGGAGAAAGTGAAAGTTCTCTCCTCGTCACGAGGGCTGCTCTTTTGTGTGTTTTCCTTCGTGGAACCAATTATTATTTAGAAATTGTATGAAATTATGCCCAATTTACCTTCCCATACATTATTCACAATCATTTATCCCTTTTTTCACCACTTGTTATTTCAGCATAAATTCTCAGACAGCACCAAAGTCATGCTTCGTGGCATATCCCTCAAATCAACTGGTGAATATCGCTGTGAGGTAAGTTTTAGTCCTACTCTCACGGACCATCAGGCCAATTTCTGCCTGATGGCGGATTAGCGTCTCATTAATATTCCAGCCACACTGGATTGTGCGAGAAAAGAAATTCACCTTCTCATCTGCCTTGTAGGTCTCCGCCGAGGCGCCGGAATTCAAATCGATCCAGGGCGAAGGACGATTAGATGTGATTTGTAAGTATGCAACTGATTTTTTCGCTGCTCCGGCCGACTTTTCCCACTTTTTTCTCTCTCTCTATGTGTGGCCATATTTATTCCCATCACCCACTTTCTCGTGCGGTACATTTTTCGTGTGTACTCGTGATTCCAGCGGCGAAGCTAATTTATGGAAATAATTCTGTGAAATGAGAAAATTTATTCAAATCGAAGAAGAACCACAAGAATAATTTGATTTGCCCACCCATTCTTTCCACACGAAACACACTGCGAATGATAATGTTGTGTCATATTATACAAATTTTATGCAAAACACAATAATGCCAATATGGAAGTTCCTTTTCTTTCTCCCACCGTCCGTTTTTTCTCGCACTCTCTCTTCTCAACTTTCCATATTCCGCACTGTCGCACCATTGTTAGCGCTGATGAAAGCTCCGACTGAGCTTTCGCGACGCATCGCAGTAAATGGTAATTTCAATAGAACACACGTCTTTTCTACATTCCATGCACAAAGTCGCTGATTTACGTTTGCGAGGGGTTCCCACTCTCCCCCAGCTTACTTATCGAAACAAATCACCTAATTTCATCTTCCCGTCTGCCTCGCAACCAGCAGGAGCATTTTTATTCTCACTCGAGGAAGCACTGTGAAAGCATAAAACTCGATGCTGATTTAAAATGCGAGGATGGTGAGATAAAAAGGAAAAAAAAAATTTGTATGTAGATCTGCATCTTATATTGCTACTTCATTTTCTTCTGTGTAAAGTAATATGGTAAATATGAGCAAAATGAGGAATAAAAGGGAGAAATTTGTGAGAAGGAAAACCTAATTTCTAATATAGAAATGCCTTCTTTCATACTGTAGTAATAAATCTGCAAAAGTTTGCTATCGTGCTCTGCATTTTTTATTGCTTCAACTCGCTTATATATCATTGTATGGGGAAAATATGGAAATTAATTGACATTCATAAAATTGTTTATCAGCAATTGCAGCTTTCCTTTGTTTTTAATTGAAACACAACCATTTTTATAATGACCTTAAATTCCTCCCTCTCCTAAGGGTCCATTAATTGTTATGAGTTCACAATAAACTTCTTTCATTTTTGACGTCTTATTAAACTCTCGCATATGAAGAAACTTAATCGAGAAAAACAGTTTTTGAAATTCATTAAGAGCAAGAGAAAGACAACAAAAGAACATTCTTTTGTTCACCAAAAGGAGTAATTTGATAGGGAATTGAAGATTCTAATAGAAGAGGTAAATCCTCCGGAACAGGTAGTTTTTGTGAATAGCTTTGAGCAGGAAAAAGCTTACCAGTACGCATTTTTCGTGCAAAAAAAGAATCCCAGGTTTTGTGAAGGAGAGACTCAAAGCGGGAATTGGGGATTCGAATCGGATTCTCGAATTTGAGTCACACGAGATTCCATTGAAATTCTATGGGTAAAATGGGTAATTTGAAGAGTTACACGTTTTTCTACACTCTCTAGCCTTTATTTCATACAAATTTGCTTTCCAAAGCCTCTCTTCATATTATTTATTTCACTTTCCTATTCATCATCCAACTGTGGAGACACCATTTGAGAATTCAAGTGGAGCTCCACTCTTTTTCCACACCGCCGTCAGCGAAATGATTTTTATTTCAGCTGATCACAGCACATTTTTCCCTATTGATGTAACAGGATATGGGAACGAGAGAAGAATCATTGATAAGTATTTTGTACAATTATCCCTCCGTTCAAGGACTTCAAAGGATTTTCACTCAGAGTTCACCCCCAGAGAGGTTCCACGTACCTTACATTTTCTCCATCCACTCAACGCAGAAAAAGTTAAATTCCTCAAGTCCTTTTCACTCTTGGCTGGACTGCTTGAGGAGTTGCTTTTCCCATGAGAAAGTTGATGGGATTTACTGGAGATGCTCGAAATAATTATTTTATTTTGCAATTTTTCTCTGAGCATAAATTGAATTAGATTTGTGAGTCAGCTTTTCCGTCTTTACATTGTAATAAAGTGAAATTGAGGAACCCTTTTTTTAAGGAAACTTTCCCCTCCAAAATGCGCGCAAGAAAATATGATGGCTCGGCAGTGAGGAGTGGCGTATTGAGTGAGGAAGAGAAAGGAACATAAATATATGATGTAAAATATCCAAATAGCGACAAAATTGGATTTTTATTGTTGCCGAGCATGAGATTGTTAGAGAATCTGTCTAGAAAAGTCATCATTGAAATTTTATTTTCACTGCAACTCTTAACTGGATGCCTCGGCTCAGTGGAAAAGGATCAATATTTTATGATATAACCCGTCGCATGGTGTTCATGAGGAGAGACTGGCAAATTTATTTCATACCAAATGTGATTCATCGGATATGATGGAGAAAAGGAGGGAAATTGCCATTCATTCAATAAATTCTTTTATGGTATGGGGATAAACATAAAAAAATTTATGTTGAATGTAATGCCAAAGGCGAGTGGAAGATTATGTTAGTTTAATAGTGTAACATTTCGATATTATTTTTATTTATACTTGTGCATTTCATGTCCCTCAATGGGACACTTCGTATGTTCTTCATTGATCATAACGACATTGATATTGCGTTCATGAATTGAGAAGTTGTACTCAGAGGACGAAATAAAGTAATGATATCATGAACTAACCTCGCGATTATTTATTTTCGCAACGCCCTAATTTTTCCGTTATGCTTAGTTATGCCCAGTAAAGGGGGATTTGTTGAAAATGAAAAAAAGTGCACAGCAAAGAAATGTTTTCATTTTGTCATTTATTGTGCGCCCTTAAATATAACCTTTTGCGTTTGTGAGAATCCAAATATCACGAAAGAGAGAATGGATGTGAAGAAAATTTCCAGACACACGAAACCATCTCTTTCGCAATGTGCCATCAAAGATAATCATAAAAATAAATTATGTTAGGTGTTTTGAGCTCTCTCATCTCCAAGCCACGATTCTGTCCTCGGCGAATATTCCTCCTTACTTTCTCTCTCTCTCTCCGATTCATGATGCTATGAAAGTTTCCCATCCAAACATGACAGAGTGTGAGGGTGAAAGGGAATCGAGCAAATTACTTATTGATTTGTTTGTGAGAAATAAAACACATAAAATATGACACTTTGTTTTATTGTTCGCCACCGCAAAAGGTGAAATCCACATATTTTGCCTCGTCACACGAAATGTAACAAGCTCTATCTCGCTCGTTTTCGGCACAATGGCGGGGTTTGGGAGAAAATCACTTGGCAAAATACAACCGAACTCCCGATGCCAATTGCGAAGGGTTGAGCAGCATCGAAAAAGCTTCCATTGATGCATTTTATGACCATTTTCGTACCTTTCACGCCAGCCACAATAAAAGCTTGTGGTGTTTTGTTGGGCGAGGAAACATCGAGAGTGGAGAGAGCAAAAAGTGCCAAGGATATTGCTAAGGATGTAAAAAAAGCTCTCCTCGGCAAGAGAGCCAAAAATTCATTTCTCTCTCTCTCGCCATTCCTACCAAAAGAATAATTTCCCTAATAGAATTTTTCCAATTTCAACTGAAAGCCCGACTTTCACTTCACTTTTCGTACTGCTCTTCCTGGGCAAATCAAGACAAAATTTAAACTATACATTTAAACAACACAAAAAAGCTCAGTTTATGCAGGAGGGAATGAAAAAAGTTTAGAAAAGAAGGATTTATGTGGATGCAAAATGCCGCAAATTTCACCCATGGAATAGAGAATAAAGATGGAACACCCAAATTTGTTTGCTCAAGCGTATAAATTCATAAATATCAATTGAAAAACCCCAATTGAGACTCCGCCCCGTATTTCACACGAGGAGATTCAAAAGTTTTAGTCCATTTTCAGGAATTGTTAGTGAGAGTCGCCAATAAATAAAGATGAGGGAAGAATCTGGCGCTTTTGGCAGCGTGAAAAGTTTTGCCTCCTTTTTTTATGGAGGGACATGCGAAAATTATTCCCCAGAGAGATTTGTATTTTGCGATAGAGACCATATTACCCAGAGAAAAAAAGTGTGGGAAAAAGGATGGTGATTTGGGCCACCAACATATGAAAATTCGCGACCACACCGGTATTCGTGTGCTGAATTATTGCTATTTTCGAGCCCTCGCCACGAGCTAGGCCTCGGGTGCAAATTCTGCAAACACACGTGAATTTCGTGGGTTTTCTCTCGCTCCTTTTTTAACTCCTCACACCCGCAACAATGGTGAAAATGAATGGCGCTTGTTTGATTAATGGATTCCTCGCGAACACATACCATCAGTCGGATTTCTCTGGGAGCTTTTGATCATGAGCTCACACGAGCGCGCGCAAATCCCAAGAATCACCTCATATAGCTTTACTGTTCGTCTGCTCGGCTTAATTTGCCTATTAAATTACGCGTAAATTATTTGCCTAATGTGAAATTGTGGTGTTTTCGAAAATAAAGGTCACGATATAATGTTTCATCGTTGTCAATTGCAGCAAAATTCTGGGTTTCTCAATAAGCAACCTTGTGGTTAATACCAAATAGCGATTCATAACGTAAAATAATAGCACTCAAAGGTGATGTCGGAAGTCTGAAAACTTGAACTGGCGCTGCTCTCGAAAGAGGGAGAAGCGAATATCACCATTTCGCTATCAAAAAAGCATATCCTTCCGATTTTATGGTCCTATGGTCATTGCCTCTCGCTTTCTGCTCCACATAACTATTATGTTTGAGTGGTGGATGGAAAACTGTAAAAGTGGCGGGCTTTTCTCTTGTGTTCTTCCTCGAGCGCCTAGATGAGGGCATTTGCTCGTGCTTGCGGAATACCAAGCACTCGTGTCCTCAAATACTGACCATTAGTTCATCCCTCGGGGATTTTATGGTAACTCCGCAGTTGTGGCGGAGGCTTGAGCTTGGCCAGATTTCCGAGCAGAGTTCTTCAATCGCGCATTGTGGAGTCCTCTTGTACACTCTCTCCTCGTTCACTATTTTCACTCCCTCGAAGCTATGAAAGTCGATAAAAATCGAAGGATGTTTTTTGCCCACTCTCTCTCTCTCGCTCTTAAGCTGAGCGAGTAATCGGGGAAGGGTGAATGAAACTATTTGCACCATTTCTGCAGAGTGTTGTTTTTCTGCAAACTAGCATCAAACATTTATGCTTCAATGAAGACACGAAAACCCAAGAGTTCGCTCGGGAGTAACACGAATTCCTCGGGTTATCTTCATCTTCTCGCGCGCAACTGTGGCAAAAATTGGCAAGAATTTGCAAAATCATTTCAAGAATTGTGATCACTTCTGACAGAGACAAAAGTAAACTTCTCACACTGGATCTGGTCGACTCTGTCTTTTAGCCATTTCGCATGGGGTGTTGGGTGTGGGTGGGTAATATAAAATGACTGTAAAATGTACATTGGAGAATTGGCTCTCCTCTTACCCCACTCGCCCTGCTCACCCGAGAAAATATTACGCTATCGCAGTCGGGACAAAAGGGTCTATTTTCCCACCCATTTCACCCACTCGGCCCGGGAAAGCCATCGTATATTGGCAAGTGCGTTCTTATTTATGCGTCAACCAATACTCCACACGCACACACCATTTTTAAGAGGAAATCTTCCTCGGGCTTAGAAAACTTGAGATTTGTATCGATTCCAAGAGACAGATTTATGTTGGTGTTTCTCCCATTCTCATAGGCAGATTCTAGGTTTTATTTCACAGAAATTCCCTTATAGAACACTGTCAAGGAATGGGATAGAGAGAGGCTGAAAAATTGGAGAATCAAAATTAAAGATCAACCATAAAGTTTCTTCTTCACACAGCAACTTATCCAGTCATTCCTCGTCGCTGTCCAACCTCCACTCCCATTGAGATTCTGACACTCTGATACAATAAAGCCTAGGACATAAACAGTGAAAAATAGCTGCTCTCGGAAATGAAAATACAATTTGACGAATTTCCTGTCTGCCGAAATGAAACACTTTTACGTTCATTTTGAGCACATTCTTTCAATTAGGCAAAGTAATGCAATTACATGAGTAATTAAATGGCAAAGTAATCAATTTGTATGACAAGCTGCTCTTCAATTTCTGTCACGTGCCAAAGCCTTGTCATGGATGGGAAAAGCGCGCAAATTTTCACAGGGGTTGAATATAAACTCCACAAGCTATGGATTTCCATTTTTCCAAATAGAGTCAATAAATTATTAATACATCCAAAGTGCAAAGTTACATTTCTGTCTGCGCAAATTCAGGACACACACTTTAAGCTCAATGGAATGATTTTTGGAGAATTTCTACCGAGAACACTAATTGAAAGCTTGGAAAAAAGTCATGTTTTATACCTTTCATTTACCATGACTATTCTCACTTTATTCACATACTGAGGCAGAGCATTTTGAAATTTGAAGTTTGTCATTTTCCATTTGCAACACAAAGAGATTTGGTGGAAAACGATGAGTTTCTGCTCTCATCTGTTCCCGGAATATGGAATCGGCATGGGAATGGGAAAACTCACCAAAAGAGCATCAAAGTGAAATTGAGAGGGAATGTGGAACACACAAAAATTACATCTGAAGCCTCCCCCTTAGCGAGAGCTTTAGTTTCAATTTCCTTCACTCGGCAGACAAGAGACAAACACCTGAAGAACGTGAAGGATCCTTGTGTAAATTAATTTCCATCACACGTTGGGCGCTTCACTCCATCAGGCAGAACCCCTTTCAACCACCCCAGCGCCACACCGAGCAATGTCTGGCACGACATTAATAAGAATCCACCCGATGCCGGGCGAAATAGAAGACGTCCTCCTTGTCGTCGTCTGTGCCATCAGAGCCCCTGGAGCGGACCATGTTCGTATAATCCGGAAATTAGCCCACATTTGGAGCTCTCGCTGCTGCTGAAATGAAAAATGTTTATTGTGATATTCCCGAGAAATGCATCCCACCAACCTACCCATCGTCTTCCGACAACTCAGTGGGGAAAAACGGATGAAAATAATGGGGGAAAATATATTTGTATTTTTCACTAGCTGAATTTTAATTTTGGCAAGAGGACTGAAAAAAACGTGAATTTACTACAAGACATTTCCACTCGCTTTCTTCCCCATATTTTCTCGCAGATCTTCACAAATGAAGTGTACTTTTTACGAGGAGCCAGAGTTGGAAAATATTAAAATTATACCCATTTCATGGCAGGAAATACCGGGATTTTTTCCATGGAAAATATTTCCTCATCCATTATATGCAAAAATGTAGAATGACGTGCCAAGAATCATTTAAAAAGATCTTCCTCGTCAACACTTCGAATACAAAAAAATATTACTCAATCGCGAGTGCCTATCAATTCTGTTAATTAATCCTGGAAAACGGTTCGGGTTTAGATATGTGTTTCAGTTTCCATGTTTGCTCTTTTGTAATGACCTTCTGTCTCTCTGCAGATCTTCCAAAGGACGGACCACACATAAAGGGCGAAGAGGAGCGTCAATACCAAGTGGGCGACACACTGAGGCTGAATTGCACTTCTGGGAAATCACACCCGTTCTCGCTTCTGGAGTGGTTCATCAATGACGAGCAGGTATCACGGCTAGAATCAATAGACTTCTCAATCCTCTGGGACAATTAATAAATGCATATATTATTCAATTTGAGAGATTTCTCATGCGCGATTTGCATAAATGTTTGGCGTATAATTTTCACATTTGTGAGCATTGCGTGGTGTGTGTGCACAGGTTAGAAGGCGGGTAAACATGGGCGGGAGTGGGAAAAAAGCTAATGTGCTTTTAATGCCTCCCATCATGGCTTTTCACATTATTATTGTTATTATTTTTATTATTATTACAACATACAATTTCGCATTGAGCAAAATTCTACCGTAGCGTCCGTGACATTTCAATGGATACCGCAGAGCTTTTCTGATTTTAAATTCAATGTGCATTCGCATTTTGTCCACCCACCTTCATTTATTGCACGTGAAATTAAATGTTATATGGCAATATATATTCGCCATTGCGCCTTTTTTTAACTTCTCCACAAGAACTTTATAGGAGAAAAATTTTATTAGGGCACCCTTAAAAAAGCAATTATGCGCTGCACTTTTTTTTTAAAACTACATGCGCGAATGGATTTTTGTTCGAATCTGCAGAAATTACAACCACTAATTTCTCGGTGTCTAATAAAAATTCATGCAGACCATTGATTTCATTTAGGATTTTAAGTACCCATTGAATTTCTCTCTCTCTCTCTGTGATTTCGAAAGAAAATTTATCGCACATGTTATGTGTACGTGAGATGGCGCGTGTTGGGAAAAATGAGAAATTCTCACGGAATTTCCACGTCGATCTTCCTCAACTTTCAACTACAATTACCTGGTAATATTTTACAGGTAATTTAAGTGCAAAAACATCTTAATACGATTCCATCCCATGGAAACATGTATCACTTGACAAATGTCATTTTAATTTCACAATTTTATTATTAAAATTCAACCTCCGCTGAATACCTTTTTAACCCACCCGCTTTGGCACAATAACACGACATTTCCGCACTGTAAATGTCCTCCCACCAACCGAAATTCATGTTGTATGAGACGAAATTGTGTTGAGTGTAGATTCATGTGAATTGAGTGTAATTAATCATGTTGAATTAATATTCTCTCACAGAGAATGAAAAGGTGACTCTCGTAGATTTTTTTCATTATGGAAATATAATTAATACAGGAGAGCCTGAATTTATATTGTGACAAATAATAATGGTCGAGAGAACAATAGAGGAGGAGCATATTTATACACTTGTATTAATTTTCAATGAGTTTGCCGAGCTTTTTGTGTGCTTTCCCGTTTATTCCACACATAGAGCGATACTATCAATCGATATATTGAGTTTCTTGCCTTGTGTCTTATCAGGAATATCTCGGGGGGATTTATATGAACATATATGCTCCACCTTATTCTGCCATTGCTCTAACTCGCTGTAATGCATTACGAGAGGAGAAGCGTTGGAAATAATAGCCTAAAGGTTCAGAATGGTTCCGAAGGAAAGTCAGAGGCGTCAAAAGATTGCTCGATTCTCTATTTTTCTAACTGTTTTCATATAAATAAAATGTCAAGCTTCCCTTAATTATTATCAAACACTATTTTCTGGCTCTCCGCACAGTTCATTGCCATCACACCAAACTAACTGGTGAATGAGACGGGACTTTCCTGAGCGGCACTATCAAGACCAAAGGCTATAAATCATTATTTGTCTAGTATGGCGCTTTTCAAATCAAGATTTCAACCTTTGAGGCAATTTAAGTCAGACATTGTGAGACACTCGGAAGAAAATCGCGTGTTTCGATGATATTAAAAGACTCTCGCACATGAATCTCAATGTGTGCCATCAGATATCAAAATAATAATGATAATTTAGGTCTCAACGTGTGGCCATTTAGAGACAAAAGAACTTGAGATTAGGTCTCATTTACTCCATGCCGTTTCCATTGGTTATCAATGGAGATAAATTATCCCCATCACAATTATTCCAAGGCAGAAAAAAGCGATATAACATGCCCAGAGCTCGAGGGATCTCCTCTTTTCATGCGAAGAGGCGTTCCTGGGTGAAATTAACCAATTCACAGAGTTTAATCCCCTTCATACTCTTTCGGAATGCTTTTCTCCGTGGTGAAACTTCCTGGCTATACTAAATTATTGAGTGCATTATATTAATTCAAATGGATGAATTTAATTCTTCCACGTGTGAAGGCGAAAGTCACAAAACAAAGGGATTTTAAGGAGCTTTCCGCCTTTTGTTGTAATTCCATAAGCCACACGCACAAAAATAAAATTCAATTGTTTACAGGGATACGAGAGGGAGCTCCTTTTAATTAGCATAATTTCTCCTTTTGCCTTTCAGACCACATTTCAAAGATTGGCTCACAAAAGCCCCAAAACGGAAATCACTGCTGGAGATTTCATTTCCCTCTCTTCATATCGTGCTATTTTCTTGGCAATTTCATTGAGAACTTTTCTCACATGTGCGCTTTTCACACTTGACTTGTGCTCGGCTTCAGGATACGAAGAAAACTTGGGAAGCAAGGAGAATCTTGTGAAGCAATTAGTGATTAAGTTTACAGAATTACATGTAAATTTGAAAACTTGAGAGCGAGAGAGTGTTTCTTTTTTAAACGAATGTTCTCATTAAAGGAATAATTCATTTTTTGTGCGTAAACTTTGAACAATTTAAATGAAATTTATAGAGAAATCTCTGTCTGACCACAATTCTTGTGTGGAAAAAATTTATGGCTTATAAATCATGTGGATAATTCACCATTAAAAACACCTAGTAAAATAATTAAGTTGAATGTGTGGCAGCTGAAAAAAATCTACTGCTCAATTTGGGTGAAATTGAGCAAATGCTGATAGAGTTAGGCACAACGTTGAGTTTCAGTCCAGAGCTTTTATGTATGTCGGAGACTTTTCTCTAAATCACGCAATCACGCACTTTAACATTCACGGTGGCCGAGAAAATGTGAGACTCTACATTGAGGAAATGACTCGCCATGTGCCTCAAGGGGCCACTCTCGCGGGGCTGCCCACCCTTTCGCTTCAGAATCCATTAGGAATGTGAGCACAGTCGATCTTGATGGGATATCAATCAAAATTACGTCAAAATAGTTGTTATTCAATTACTAAACACTCAAAATTCCATTGAAGCCTATGAATTCTTCACTGGCTTGCTCGCGAGATAAGGAAGCTTTCTGCGAAATGCTTGATAGTGGAAATGGGTTTGTGCCGTCATATTTTCCTCGTGAGTGACTTTCGGCAGTTGGACGCACTTGAGGAGTGAAATATTGACAGAAAAATACATTGTGCGTGCACTTCTTTCACACGGACTTCCCACTTAAACGATCTCACTTCTTATCGTAACATCTCAGGGTGAAATCGCATTATCGCTTGTGTTGGTACACCTCCGGTCCGAGATTATCATGCGCCGTCATCATTTATCCACTCGACATATGTTTCCTTGTCATCACAAAACGTGAGTGTGTTAACGTTTTGCAAGTGGGTGAAGTAAAACAGCAACTATAAGAACTTTGTTCACGTGTTGTGAAACACTTGTCTTATTTGGCAACTTCATTACGGAGTATTTTACATATTTTTCGCTGAAGACAAGGCTGAAGAAGACTGTCGTGAAGGCTCTTCTTTCAACTTTACCGAACGGTTTAGATTCTTTGTCATAGATGGTGTGTAAATTCTAAAATATTATTAGATCGTGCGGGAATTCTTATTCCATTTGGCGTCGTTCCCACGTTGGAACCATTAGTGGTGGGGAAATAAATCAAAGAGGAAATTCTCTACATTTGGGAGTTTTGCAGGGCGATAATCGTCCATTTCAGCGACACTTGTGGATCATTAATCTCCTGAGGAGAAATGTCGCTAAAATAGTCCCACAAATGCCACCTCAAATAAATCCACATGATCTTCTATTTCACATAATTCGCTCGCTCACCTGTTTATTTAACACATCCACGTCACCGGAGACACAACACAATGCCCTCGTCATTTTTTTCCTGCCAACCCCCCGACGTGTTGTGTGGTGTGAAAATTGACGTGCTGGAGCAAATTGTTTGATTGTCGTAAAAATTGTTGCAAATATTTCGGGAGAAATGACAAAAGGGTGGGTTCTCACATATCACAGCGCCGTGGCAGACTTCATGTCAATTGCTTCAGGATTTATTGACTGGGGTGGACTCTTCTGGCAGGTGTAGGCTCCTTTTTGCCCAGGGAAATGATGGAGAGTCCCAAAAAATTGCCACTGTCGCTCTGGGACCACCTCATGATTTCATCAAATAAACGATAATGGCATTCAAAGTGAGGCACGAGGGCTGGTGCGCCACTCCCTGGAACATGGTTTTAATCGAGAAATGGCGTGCATTGAATGACCACCGAGGCATTTGTCCCTCCTCACCACTTCCACGGGCGGTCTGAGAGAAGCTCCCAGCACAGCCCCAACCCTGGGCACTCATTCACTCACCGACACTAAACATTGTGTATGCTCTTGTTTCACGAGACTTGCCGTATTTGTTCTTCTCGAACTGTTTTTCTTTCGCATCCAACCGCCAGGGTGGGTCAGCGCGCCCGAGTGGGTGGCGAAATGTAATGTATTCAATGACAGACGTAAAAAGGATATTTTTATTTCTCCTCCACTGCTGCTGAACTCTTTGGCCGTCAATGCTTCCAGCAGAGGGTTTGAGGTAAAAGTCTTCAAATACGTGAGAGAGAGATTTTATGTCCTTCTTTAGGGGATAAACTTTTTTTACCGCCTCCTCTCATTTTCCTCGGCCACAACAAAGGAAGAGGAAGATTTCTCGGACAAATTTGTTGCTCTAACAGACGCTTGTGGAATTTCTTCTCATCCCTTTTCAAAAACCATCCCTTTGTTTTCCATCTCAGTTACTCAGCTTTTGTGGGCTGCACAAAAAATCACAGTTACTGCAAAAGAAGCTGAAATGAATCACACGAATGGTATATTCGTTTTCTCAATTCATTTAACGTGTCTCCCACTTTTTTTGAACGGAATCATTCCAGGCTGAGGAGATAAAAAAGTCTTCGTTCCGTCCAAACTCGTCGGTGGAAAGTGATTTCCATTATATAATTTCGCAAAAGGCAAAATTGCAAATTGAATTCATTCTTCTCCGATCAATTAAATTCGATATGAGCGATGGGGTGAAGAGGGAAAAGTTGGAAGTTTGTTTATCAGAATGTTGAGGGGAGGAAGGGGGCATTTTTAATGCAGATTGGCATCAATTGATTTTAATTATAATCCCAACAGTTTTACTCCCACCGAAAATTGCACGTCCATATTGATTGCTCTCAATGATTAATGTAATTATTGGCAATCGCTCGTGGCCAAATGTGTTTCACTCAATAATTCAATCTCACAGCATTTTATGTTCATTGCTGCATATCATTAATCGCGTGTGCTCCTTGTGAAAATCCACTTGTATTTAATATTGCACTGCGGCTACTGCTATTTTTTGATTTGGAACCTCATGCATTACCCATGCTCTCTTCCATTGCATTGTTTTTGGATATTTTGGCAAAATTTAAATACATGCGTCCCCTGAAACCATCGACATTTGAATGTGAAATTTAAAAATATCATATAATAGGGAAAATTCGATTGTACGCGGAATTTTTACTGCAAATATTGGCCTTAAATAGTTTCGAAATATGGACAGATAATAATTTTTGTTGTATTTGTCAAGTATAATGAATTCCTCTTTATTTGGAATTGGATAGAAAAATATATTCATCATTTGTAAATTAATGGGCAATTCTGTAGTCAGTAAATTGATTAAGCGAGAGCATAAGCTATATTGATTCGGTTAAACTACTGCTCTTCGAGCACACTTATCATTTTGATTAACTGAATGATGCCGAAGGAAGGGCTTTCAGAAGCAAAAGATCCAATGGTGAAGGTTCATCGTAAGAAATTGACCCCATAATCATAATTCTCGAACGATAATACTGGAAGATATGAAGAATACTTTCAATCGAGCTAAAGTGAATGAGAGTTGAAAATTATTATTTCTTCGGGGGTAAACTTTATGTGAGGCACTTTGGAGAAATTGCTGGCATATTTAACCCTGAGACATTTTTAAACATAACCTCAAGGGTTTTGACTTTTATTGCACACAATATTTCAATTCAATTAAATTTTAGCACAGAAAAATGTCTGATAGTTTTATGGGAGTGTTTCTGAAATGTTGCTGGAGTCGAAATTGAGATGAAGCTTGTGACATTCACAATTAAAGGCTCAAAAAATTCGGTGGATTAAAGTATGGGATTTTTGAAGGTATTTCTGAACTTTCGCCATATTATCTATTATCGCGCAATATTTTCCAACACGTTTGTGCACCGAATCATTAAATTGAATGATGTAATTTGAGTAAATACCAACTATAGTCACCGATAATGATATGATAAAATATACGTGAGAGTGAATTTATTAAATATGCCACACAGAAAATGTCCCAACAAATTTATAATTATTTAATCAGCACTTTACAGACAATGATTGGATTTAATTCGAGCTGTGCCTATCCAATTTTCATATATTTTGCTGTTTTTTTTAACAGTATTGACTTATGAATATGACTCTCGGACTGCACGCCATCATAATGGCTGTTTTAATCATTGCAGGTGAAAGATAGGAACTCTTTGGTCAATTATCCACCGTATCAGCATCCTCATGGACTGATCACCACGAGATTGGGTCTGAATCTCGAGCTGGAGCCACGACACTTCACCGACGGGGCTGTGCACGTAAAGTGTGTGGCGAGTTTGTCGCCGGTGAGTCATTAAATTAATCACCCTGACGAATTCCGAGCCCTGTGACATTCACCCTCATTAACCACATGACGTCCCCAATTCTCGGGGCTTCTGCGGTTTCCTGCAGGTCCTCTGGCGCGGCGGCAAGGAGAGCATTGTGCAGACAACGAGACGACAACATTTGCTCGACAACCGAGAAGCAATGCTGCTGGGTACGTGAATTCCGCCCTTTTCTCTCACGCTTTTCCAGCTAATTCATTCCCGCGTAATTCGCAATTTTCCGTACGAGCCCTCATCAGAAGCACACATGAATTTAAATTTGTCTCCAGAGATTTCGCTTGAACTGAGAGACCATCCTGCAATCTTTTGACCTGCGAATGACAATTATTTACGCGTATTTTAAGCCTAAAATTCTACCTGTTTTTGTATGAATTTACTGCTAAGTCAAAGTGCTCATAAATCGAGCAGTTTCTATAGAAAATAGCGCAACGGACAATGAAGGACCCCTAAAGCATGCTTAATATAGATTTATCGTCTCCTTAAAACACAATTTTGATCATTTTTTCAACACTTTCGATCGCGGGTAATACTAATATTTTGATCTCAATCAAGCACTGCTGCGATCAAATCTGCGAGCACGGTGAAATTCTCAGCTAATGTGTTCGCTGAGTTGTGACTGAGCTTTCATAGCGACGCGATGCTATTGAGTTTAGTTGTTTCGCGTCGATGGGTTAAATGCGTCAATGAGAGGGTCGAAGAAAATCATGCGAGTGGCAATTACACACATTAACAGTCACCTTCTAATATCGTTGCAGTGCGCAGCGGATCCTCGACGCTGTCGACAATGTCACGACATGGGGGAATATTCCTTGCATGCCTTCATCTCCTGCTTCGTCAGTGCTGCGTCTGAAAACACACCCCGGTGAGAAATTAAATTTCTCTCAAAGGGGTGCACACACAAGTTTTCCACGACAAGAAATCCTCCAGGGGGATCAACAATCATATTTTTCTAAGAAGCATAAGTGCACACACACACAGTAGTCGAAACTGCGAGGTGACGAGGAATGGAAGTTGTGAGAGGAAAGAGTATTTCGCGTTCAGAATTAGACGAAAAAATGTACATAAGAGATCTTATAAATAAATTGGGAGAAAATTAATTATAAGGGTAGAAGGTAATATTCAAAAGAATTCTAGACAGATTTTTATTTAATTGCCCAAGAAATTAGATTGACTCTACCCTCTGAATTCCTTCCCCTTTTTCTCTTCATCATCATTGAATTCCTCATATTCCAGGAGTTGTAAAACACCACACTTTCCCGGGATTCTGCACGGTGAAAAGGAGAAGAGAGGTGGATAGGGAAATTTGATGAGAAAAGAGATATTTTTTCGGAATGACGGAAAAAAATTCAATGTGAAAATGCCTTGAAGAATAAATTATTTCCAGTGAACCTGTGGCATTCTTCCTTCCCGTCCGAGAACCGCACTTGGAAGGGTGACTTAAGCGGAGGCGGTCTCTGTTTTTCGTGTGGTGTATTATCAAATACTTTAGGAAATATTGATTGATTACTGTCATTATCACATGAAAATTGGGAAATAACGAAATTGTCAGAGTTTGTATTTGTCAAACAATGGAGAAACTTTTAATATCCTTCTTGTGCCATCAATTACGGCGCAGGAACAAGTCTGGCTGATGGGAAAATTGATTATGATATTGTATCATTTTTGGGGAAAGCTTACTATCGCGTTATATGTATTTATAGCGCGACTACAGCTGACTTCATTGCATGGATGACACACATGTCATAAGTGTTTTGATTTCGTTTCTATCTCGCTGACAGATTTATTTGAAATTCATTAAATGGCCTAATTGTATCATGAGCCAATCTTTTTCATTCAAAAATTTATGAGTTGGCTTTTGCAGTCATCCGGCTTTTAGTTAGACAGTAAATTATACATTGATGCATAATGGCATACATAATAGCAGAATATTTAATACATTACTCTAACTTTAAGCTCTGTTCTGGCATCGGTTTCAGCAGATTTATTGGACTGTCTCAAGGGAAATTACATGTGAACTTCATTGACCCTTTTGATCAAAATCCCTGTGAGGAGCACTTGGAAGTCCTCGGAATTATCGGGTTAATTGAAAACAGGCGCACAGTTGAGATAATGTGCAATAGAGATTGCAGAGGCTCTTCATTTCTCACCTCATCAGCTCTAAATCATCCATGAAGACATCCGCTGCGGACAGATAAAATTCCAATGTGACACTATTTGATAATCAGGCGGTAAATTAATGAGCATGTATTAATTGAAAAGCGTGATAATGCGATTAAGGCATCTCGATAGCACTATCAATCAAATTATTAATTACTATTATTCCACGCATCACATATTCAATTGATCTTGTGCTCTTCAAATCAAATCCGATATGACTTCATAGCGACACTCCCCGCATCTGGTGGTATTCTGTGCATTCGGCAACAAGTCACTATTAAGTTTCAATCCATTGCGGAATTTGCTCGCTTGGTGGGCCGCCTCGGGAGGAGTTGAGAGCGTCCAATTGAGACGTTCCTCGGAGATGATATCGATCTGGCGAGCACGACGGAAGAGAGATCTGCTCGCAGATCACGATAGGGCGAACAACGCCAGAAAGTCTTCCTGCTGCAGTGCACATGGTCGCAGAAAGTCCCCGCGGAGCATCTGGCCCTCCACGAGCTGGGTAAATTGAGTGTAGAAATGCAAATTGCTTCGCCTCGCCGAAGCCTGTGATTGCGCCCCATTTATCCGTGGCGCATTAGAAGTTGTATCACAAGTTGATTAATTAATTGAAAATGCATGTTCTTCAGCCATCTCAAAACACTAGCCGACGAATGACGACGAGTCTAAGGAATTATTATTGATGTTGAATCATTCTCCCGCCTGCAAATGCCATATAATATCACAAATAATTGCTTCAGCCTATAATGATACAAACTGCTATCGCCTCTGGGCTCTGTTTGATCAGTTCAAATCATGCTGTTGACTTTTTTCCTCAGCTCCGCAGACATATACCATGGCGATGGGAAGCATGAGAGAGAGAGAGAAGAATTGCAATAGAGTAATTGCTTTAGCATATTTAACATTTATCGGGAAGAGAAATCAAACACGAAAGATGCACTGAATATTGGACACCACCCACAACTTCTTCCGCCACATTTTCCACGAGATCGCGTGGCCTTTTGTTATGCACCATAAATGGCTCAAATGCATCATTTGCCGTAATCCTCCAATATAGGACGAATCCGGGGCGTTGCCGGCCCATTGATCACGACGGCGTTCCCCCCAATAAAGCCCCAAGGACGCCTCAAGATCAAGGAGACAATATCGGCAACTGCGAGCAATTACTAAATATTGTCCATTTCCGCACCAGAAAATTCTCCTCCGTGACGCAAAGCGCATTCAAATGCTGCCCAGATGCGTCACTTCAATAGATAATTGTTGGGGCTCAGCTGAGGAAGATGCATCGATGGTGCATTTTGTAATTGTCGGCACTTGCCAATTGCAGTTGAATTATGAATAAGGCACTGAGCAAAGAACAACTTGAATTGTGATTGATGCCTCACAAATTAATCTCACATTGTGATCTGCTTTCGAATTAGTTGAATTTCAATGGAAAATGCACACCATTTGCATAATTTCTGCACATTATTCTCAACAGTGCGTCTCGCGACATCATTCGTCTTTTGTCCGCCAAACATGGCGCAAGAGAGTGGGATTTTATTTCGCAGCAATTCAATGAAATTTTGTGAAAAAAACTCCCAATATTTCTTTCCAACAAAGGCATTTTTATTCCATTCCAACGCGATGAAACAAATGGTCCTCATGCAAATCTCAGCATCCACAATTCCGTCGCAAATATGTAGATTATCGACATAGATGATAAATGAATCAATGCAGGGAGTGTATCTCATTTGTAGGCATGGTAAAAGACAAATGCTTCGGAAATTGGAAGAGAAATTGCTGTAGCAAATAGGCAATTTGCTAAACGAGCCGCATCAAATGCATGGCGTTGTGTTCTTCGCCAGTCGCTCCGGAGGAATCCTGGATTGTCAATCAGTCAGAGAGCAATTGTGCGAGAGACTCGTGGATTTGGGGTCAGGAGGTGCATCTCGCGCAACCTTGGATCTCTCGTGTGCCATTATAGTCAATCACTGAGCAGAAAATCAATTATCTCGGGCGAATTTGCACACTGATTCGCTAATTGTGATTCATATTTAATGGTCAGAAATGAAGATGCCACTATGGTTAGCATGCTCGAAAAGTGTGTCAAATTGTTGACATTTCACCATGTCCAACTGTGCATTGCAGCGCGGCGTAGAGTTTGTCGTCTTGGCTGCAAAAGGAGATAAAAGGCGACGCATTTTGATGAGAGCGCGTGAAAAAAATGACTGGCAGTGTCGTCTGGGCTATTAAGAAATTCTTCAAGAGGGCAAATAATTATTTATTCATGTTTTGTTTACACAATCACTCGCGACTCTCTGCGTAGAATCATAATTGCCGCAAGTAATTGAATTAATCACACACGCACGCGATGCAAACGCTAATCATCGGCGGAAGAGATCGTGGCCAGCGATCAAGTGGAAGAGCGATCGCTTTGCCATTTGTCCGAGGAGGTGGAAAATGCTCTCTGTGTTCGATTGAGAGATCTCTGGCCGAGTTGCAGACTGAACTGCATGTGAAATTGATCACCTACACTTGGTCGGATTCTCTACACTTGTGCCAAAGTCGACGCGACTCGCCAGCCAAGTGACTTCAATTGCTTACAGCAAAATTGTATTACAATCAGTGACAATTTACTTCACAATTTATGTTTAATTGTCAATGTAATTGACATCTTTGGATAATATGAAGCATATACACCAGTATGTACATGGGAAGAAAGGAGTAGAGAGAAATTGTAGCAAATTCTGCAGATGGAAATTAAGTCAAATTGAGAGCTTGATTGAATTTTTCAACAGAGTAAAAATTTTTCAACGACGATGAAAATTATTATGTCTGTCAGACTTTCAATCATATGAAAGTTGAATCCAAAGAGAAGAAATTTTTGGCATTATTTCATGATTCTTATTATCAAATAATTAGTCACATTCATGGAGCTTGAATTTTGTAAGCACTTCAGTTTTCACACGCCACAGATAAGCTTTTGGTATTACATTTAATTCAATTGCAGAGCATATAGGCAAAAAGATATGAAAGGTAATTTAAAAGAGAAGTATTCAATGAGAAGTTTCAATGGGGAAAATGTATTATTAACGACAAATGATTAGCCATTTATTGTGCTTTAGTAGATGACAACAAAGTGAGGCAGAATGAGATTTGGATGAAATTGCGCAACTCGGTTTATGTGCATTTGCCTTATCTTTTATCATAAGTACTTGTAGCATGTTAAATGTTATTTGAATAGTAAGTGAACACATTCAAAAAGTCAAGGTTTGCTCTCAGAATGTCTTGTAAGAAGTTCACACTGCAATTGAGTCATTTTGATTACTCATGAGTGCGAAGAAAGTCAGTGTCATAAGAGCGCGAGGAATTGTAACGCAATCACCTCTGCGATGCTGGAAAATGATGAGATTGACAAGGAAGCTCAGTGTGATTGCCACTGGACATAGTTTTGTCACCAAGTGATGCAAGACAGGCTGGATCAATTTGCCACTTGAGTCGATTGATCGAGAGTGATTTATCTTATTTGCCCAGCCTCGAGGGGGGTTGCGATCGATGGCGTCATTTTCGGAGTGGAAACTCAGTGGTTTGATCGTCAACTCGTCACTGTCTCCAGCTCGATATCCCCATGATCGGGTCAGTCTCTCTCGCCTCTCAGTCCCACCATTGTGGCTCTCCGCGGCTGATCTCTCTGTCTAGCGCTCGCATGGACTCTTTTTTCCCTCCTCGCCATTGATGCAACTCTCGTTACCATTCCATGCCATAATTACGTAATTCCCCTCTGTTAGATTTTATAAATAATATCTCGCGAAATTGCTGACAGTTCTCGCTCATGTTAGAACGGTGCTGGACGTGCCTCAGATCCACTCTCGCGCTTCCTGACTCCGCTTCGCGCCAATTCTGCTCACCCATCGCGAGTCTCCTGGGCGAGAGCATCTTCCAAAATATTCCGCCGTATCAGTGTTTTGTCTCGCAGCCTGAGATTAATATTCAATCTGTGTCTCATTCTCGCCATCTCGTGTTTGGACAGTGAATACCTAAAAACATAATTCTCCTTATCAATTCACAGCTCTTTCAGCGAGAGCAATTTTTATCTCTAGTTCGCTTTTATCTCCGCCAATGACAGGCAGAGACATTGTACGTTTTCAGTTGGCTCAATGAACCTGAGGTGAATAATTAAAGAGTGCAGTGCATTTGGAAATGAGATATTTTTTACGCAGTCCTGAAAATTTCAATTATCCGGGTTTTTCATCGAGACGCGCTAGAGAGTGATAGATTAAATCACGATATTATCGACGAAAATATTCGACCAGAGGTGAAATTCATTTGCCAGATTATATAAAAATCTATAATTTCAAAGTGCGCTTCAGATAGCAGAAATTTAGGGCATGTTAATATTAACTTTATTGAAATGAAATCAACACGATTGAGCTTTAAAAATTCCATAAAACCGTGTTCAAATTGAAGGCTCTATAGCTGTGCAATTAGTGCTTCATTTGGGATAAATTGCATCAATTCTGCAATTGTGTTCGTCGCGCTTCTAAAAAGCGCGAGGCTGACTGTCAAATTCTAACGCAAAGTAATCATGGAGAGCAATTGATTTCGTTTGAATTAATGACGATGCCACAATTAGTGCGTGAATGTTGCTGATGAGAGCGAAGGTGCGAATTAACGCTGCCCTGCCAAATGTGGGTGGGCCCCGGCGTGATGATGGAAGAATTGGCGGGCAAATGTGCTGGCCGCATGATAGATTGGAATGCCAGGCATCTGTCAAGGAGGAATTACCGCGTGAGACGAGTGTAATACTCTTGCATCTGAGCATGGATGATCGTCAATCAACGCCGCATCGTGGGTGAACTTGAGATTCGCCGTGGAAGAAGGCTCGAGAGCATGAGAAGTCATTCCCGAAATATCACATTCTATAATCTCATCAGGCGATGGGAGCTCTTGGTGGGACTCTGTGGAGGATTTTCATGATCCTTTTTATGCTTCTCCACGACCCATTTTCGACATTCCGTCGACAAAGAATTCCGCATCTGTTCGCCGGAGGAATTTTATAACTCAATTGTGTTGCGAAATTCTTTACCTCCTTTATTTTCAGTATGTGTTTTTTACGATAAAGGGCAATTTGAGAGGAATGTGTCTCACTCTAAATAATTATGCTCGAAGATTTTTCTCGTTAGAGGATATTTTATCGGAATTTTATTTGCTAATACAGCCAGGGCAAGTGTTTGAGTGCGCAACTGTGCTAATAAATCATTTTTTATTCCCCCTGAAGTGCACAATTTTCAAGTAATTTTTATCACAAAACTCCCCTTTTTATGCGATTAAATGTTTATGAATTCTCTTCTCTTTCACACTCTCCCGCCAATCATACAGACTTCTCACACCGTCACTGGATCTCACGAGCAGTTTGTTTTTCTTCTGCGTGCAACCATGAAAATGAATCAATTGAATTCAGTGCGGAATCTCGCGGCGTTTGCGTTAGTCAGTAAGTGTTTTCTATTCCGTCTCTCATCCCAATGCACTTGACTGCATTTCAATGGGCAAAAAGACGGTGCATGTGAGAAATATTTAAATTGAGAAATCACTGTGAATTTAGGTTATTTGGTATCACATGCCGTCGTCGCCGCAGCCAAATGTAATCTCAATCCCTTCTACAAGCCAATTTGTGGTTCCGATGGTAAGACCTACGGCAACATTGACATGCTCAACTGTATCAATATTCATCGACCATTCCACAGAAGTAAGTAAGGACAGAGCATACGAATAATATTGAAATTACCACTGACAGTGAAATTCATCCTGACCACATTCAATGTTCAAAACAAAGTAAATATTTTCATTGTAATCTTGAAAGCTTTCGTTCGTTTCCATTTAACCACTCCATAAGATAAAGTGCTTTAAAAATATTATTAAGGTATTTTGACTTGAAATATTATGCAAAACTTAATTGCAACTTTAGCCATTTATTGAATGTATTTTGTTGTATTAACACGGAATATTACACCATAAATTCAAATTTCCTCCGTGTAACTTTAGGTTTAGATAGGAAAAACGTATTTAATGAATTAAAATGTGATTAAAAAGCGAGCTTTATAGTACCTATACATACAACTCTAAGGGAAGAAAGGTTTTCTCTCCCAAGAAACAATTGTGTAAATGTTTATTATTTCGCCTATTTCTTTCTCAACAAATACTCCTTGTACTCTTTGTCCTTTCCGTTTTCTCTTGTGCACTATCTGTGGCCAACAAGTGAAAGAAGAGAAAATACAAGTGTACAGAAACAATAATTTCTTATCTTGCATTCTGGTTGTGTGTTTATTTTTCATCGCCAATTCAACAATGGAATTATTTATGCGACTGAGGAAGGAATTCACGTGGTGAGGAAGGGTGAATGTGCAGCGCTTCTCTGTCCCAGTTATGAAGATCTACAGGGTCCCTGGACCAGTGATACGATTGTATGTGCCAACAACGGCTACAGCTATGGACATCCCCATCAAGTGCGCTGTCTCAGGGCATTCATACCAAGTCTGACCACTCTGCACGGCTGTCAGGGTGCAAATGCTAACGCTCGCCTTTGCCGTTGCAGGTATAAATATTGCCCACGAGGGCGGATGCACAATTCACGAGGTGAGAAAATCACTCAACAGACACTTCCGCAAGAAGGCATGCTCGCTTCCGAGGCGACAATTTGAGAAGAACATCGTCTGTGGCCACAACAATAAAACCTACGTCAACCCATTCGATGCACTCTGTTCCCATCCGAGTGAGTAATTTTTGGGAAATTGCCTTCGCTCCTGCTCCTTATGCTAAATTAAGAGCCTTCTGTCTCTTTTGGCTCACTATTTGTCCTCTTCCCTTTTCAACGGCACAATGCCACGTGAAGGTAAATGTTCTGTGCGCTCCTGATTGATTTTTTTTTACTCTCGCACATGTCTCTCAAGTTAGAGCAAAAGTAATTTCCCTCAATTTCCCAGAAAAGTGATATACGGTGGAGTTGAAGTGCTTGAGTGAATCTTCAACTTTGCTGAAGACACTAAAGTTCCACCTTTTGATTAAATTGATGAAATTGACGTGGAGTCTTTGGTCTGCGCCACTTGCAGGGATTCACGAGAAATTGGGCGGCAAGTGCTTCTGTCCCTTTCAGGTGAGCTGCGAATTCGCCTCCCGCCTCAATCGCTCCTTCTACAACGCAACCAGAGCCGAGAAGGAGCGATACATTGTCTGTGGCAGTGACCGCAAGACATATCGCTCGCACTTCCATCTCGAGTGTTCCCGCCGTCTCAATCGATGTGAGTACCTAAAGCGCTCTTTCGTGCCATTGAAAGCCTCTAATTAGACCCTTCCTTGGACCCTCTGACGTGCAGATCTGTACCGAGTAAGCAACGGGGCGTGCAAGAAGGACAAGGACACCTGTCCACAGTGGCTGAAGTTCGTCAAAACACCGACTCCTGTCTGCGGCTCGGACAAGAGGTCCTACATCTCATACGAAGCTCTCCTCTGTGCCGCTTCGCGGATACGCAAGAGTAAGCTATTGATGCTAATTAAACTTCACAACTCCATTGCAATAATGACACTTCTTACTTCAGACTTATTCTACGTCCATTCTGGCCCGTGTATTGAGTAAAGCAATGCCAGCGACTTCATCTGAAAGCTCACTGAAAGTTGTTGCGTTCCGGAATCGATTAATCATGCGTTTTTTTCTTCATTGCACTAATTTAATTGAGTAATTTAAGTTTGACCAACTGAGGCTTCAGGAGGAAATTGTGACCACAGTGTCTGATCTCTCCTCGCCTCAGTGAATAAAATGTTAGAATAATCTGTGATAAATTGGAATTTCTTGTTGAAGCATCTCGTGGAATAAATGTGTAACCATAAACTGTCTCGATAGTGAATTTCGGAAGAGAATTATTGGGCCCGTCTTCGCCAGGAAAAACTGTCTCATCGCCCCGCGCGTCATTTATTCAGTCTGTGTGCTCTTGTATAAATTTCAGTCATATCAATAATAAAAATTATTGTTCTGCCTTTTTTATTGTCACTTTCCTTTGTCTCATCGGCGAGAGTGCGTGTGGAAATTGAATTACAAGAAGGACAATGAGGGAAATTTTATGTGGGACACACGCAACAAAAAAGTGAATCAAAAGATATTCTAGCCAAATAAAAATTTACCCCTCCTCGGAGTGTGGAATTTATGTGTTACTCCAGGCTCTTGTGAAGGGTGTGGCCATAAAAAATGCACATTTTGTATTTTACGACCCGCTACCACGATTTCTGACCAGGAAAGCTCTCTGTGCGCCACTTGGCCGCCCATCTCACTAACTCCTTGGCGCGGTAAGTGAGAAAACAGCCCCGCAATGCTCGCATCTTGACCCCATTCGCCTATCTTCGGGCATAAAAATAAAAGTGAGACGACAGATGTAATTGCCCAAAATAAACTTCAACCCCGCAACAAATCATCCAGAGATTTTCTGCAAATGACAAAATACTCTGCGTCACGGACGTCAAGAGAGATCTCAATATTGTCTCCCGGAAAGCTTTTTTCCCACTCAATCACTTTACTACATTTCGAAGCATCGCAAAAAAGGATCTCATCCTGTGACTTTCAAGAGCAATGGTGTTTTATTGCGACTCTCCTCCACCAACAGAGAACGCCAAGAGGATAGCCAACCATAAAATTCACCACAAATGCCATAAATCTGCGTGAAAGCATCCCATTTTTAAGTGGTGAATCTAGAAAGTCACTTTTCACATATTTGACCTCGCGAAAAATCCATCCGCGCCAAACAAATAACACTGATTTCAATCTCTAATCTGATAATCTGGCTCCGCGAAATGATTTTTCACTGAAAATCCGAAAGCTCTCTCATGCAATTGATGATAAAATATGTACAGAATCGGCACTGCCGCAAACACCCACGGACTATATACTTAATTAATACCTATTTTGCTGCAATGAAATGAAAATTTTGCACAAAAGTAAATTGTTATTGCTCTCCGCAGTAATTGCAATTGATTTGTGTCGGTCAGATTGATAGATTAATGCATTTTTCCACACTAGACGAACTCCAGTAACAATCGTCGTGTATTCCTCAACTCTTGGTGCAATTTTAAAAATCACTGTGACTGAGAGAAAGAACGTATAAATGGTGAATTTATTCACATTTCGCGTAGTGGCAACAGAGAGGACATTGCATCAATCAAAAGGCAAATTGTCGCAATTTGTGGCGCTCTGGAGGCTCTATTATTTATTGAATTTCATATGGAAAATGCCTCCTCTTGAATTTGTGAATATGTCCATGTCAATCATAACATTCTATCACAATTTGCACTCTCGGTTTTTTGCCCTCACTTAACTTCCTCTGTCGCTGGCAGATATAGTCAAATGGGTCAAATGCAAAAACCCTAAATTTGAATAATCATTCATTCTCTGGTGCTTACGGGGAAACTGCAATTTTTCTCTCCATGGATAAGCAATTGTCAGGAAAAATAACATGAAAAGTTTCTTTCTACTGTTCTGAGAAAGGGAAATTTAATTATTGCAGAAGCAAGATATCAACGATTGTCACCGAAGTGAGATTTATGGCGCAGCTATTGAGTGAGTTGTCATACCCTTTGCGACCCTTTTCTTCAATAGACACTTTGCGATAAATTTGTGAGAAAATCAAAAAAGTTCCCAAAGTTTGCTCCACGGATACTCTCTCTTCAGGCAATCAGATGAAATCTCCACAGTGTGTGGGGGAGTGAGACAAGGGATGAAAAATTCGTGGTGTAATTTGTTGATTTCTGGAAGAAGAGTTCTATACTCGGAAATCCAGTGAATGTTGATATTTGGTGAAAGTCTTGGCAAAGTTTTGGGGCTCAGCAAAAGAAGGGGATGAAAGTTTATCCACCTGATGGAAAACTTAAAGCTCTGTCATGAGATATGCGTGGCAGTTGGTGAGATCGAGGAAGGGTGTGTTTTAGAGGTATTAGAAATTCATTCATCTCAAGGGTAAACAATATAAAATATGATGATTGCGTACCCTTATTTCCTTCTCGCTGCACTCATCCATTCCCTCTTCCATCTCACTTCTGTTTCTTTACTTATTTTTCATTTGCCGTACTTTCAATTTCCCACCCCCGCACGATATCTAGGGTGAATGAAACTTTAATGAATGGAGTGAATTTTTCTTCTACTTCCATCAAACTATTTTTTTTCGCCCGAGCCCATCTATCTAGTGAATTGACTCGTGTTTTTTCGATGAAGCCGCGCTAGACCCTCGATTAATTTACCGCAAAAAGTTAATTTCATCGTGAGTGCCGACAATGGGGATTGCGGGGGTGCGGCACGGGTGAAAAGTACCCCCACACATATCCACATTACACAATTGAGACACCACTCCAATCGCAATCAATTTCTCAACACAGAATCCCATTTTACTTCCTCACACAACATTTGAGCAATTTAAATCACACAAACGGATTTACCCCCCAACATGGCTGGGCGGCGGGGAGGGTGAGGAATTGATTTCTTTGTCGGAACCACCCCAGTGACGACCTCCGCAATAATAATGCAGACACACCACTCCTTTCACTTGCCCCAATTCCGATGGCAAAATAGATTTCTCACCCACACCCCGGGTGGGATTGGGATGAAAGTATTCGATACACAAAAGCCATGATATGTGAATATTTTATATTATTATTTCACCTCCAAACATACTCTCGCTCACACACTTTCGCCCCCTCAGCTCACACGTATTGTATTATTTGTTGTTATTATTGCGCCCCAACGCCGAAGTACATTGACTCCCACACCTTGGAATTCACCCCATGTAGTGCTGTGCCTCCAATAAAATAAAAATTGCGATGGATGATGCCATAGAAAATTTCCTTTCCATTCACTTTATTTGATCCACAAACAATTGCACTGAGCGAAGGCTCGGGGGAGTTACACGTGTGGCGCTGAACCTCAATATGTGCGAGTCTTAAGTGAAATTCGGATGGTGCTTGACAGAAGCGGAGTGGCGTGGAGAGGGCGAGAGATAAGGCTTGGGCGTCTTATCGCATATCTGGCACTTTCATCGCGGAAAACATCACCCAAATTTGGTCACGCGATGCCCATCCCATGCACAATCCTCTCCATTCACTCCGAATCTCCATCAATCGGAGCGAAAGACATCCCTCAGTTGCTGACCTTCGAAGGGTGTACATTTCGGCCGCGTGATCCTGAATTCGCTACTGGCGCACCTGGAAAATCCACCCTCCCAGGAGAGTCACTCGTCGGCTCTTGCGTGGGAAATGGGGGACAAATAGTTTTCTTGAATATTTACAAAACATTCACACGACTGTATTTCGCCTCATTTCTATTTCATCCATTTTCTGCTGTGCCGCACAAAAGCTCCCATCGCACCTGCCCAGGACGCCACGCATGAGTGTAAGAAAATGCCAAGAGGGTTAAAAAACTGTGGCGTGTGGTGGTGACATACAAATGATTTTGTAACCTTGGTGCCAGAGTTGAGGAGGTGTTTTAAAGTTGTAGATAAGATCAAACCTTGCAGTTTATGCAGAATAAAACAGCGATGATTGCCTTTGTCCGTCATGCAATTTTTTAGCTTATTCGTATGGAGGTCACTGCAAATCGCAAATACCAGTAAAAAGGATCTGTCTTCAAAGGAATTCTGCGAGAAACAAGAGCAAATGGAAGTAAATACTGTGGTTTAGCAGCAAAGTATGAATTATTCGTGCCGATTGTGGTGCCACTTTGATATGCTTGAACTCTGAAATCCATTTTGCCACACGCTGCGTGATTTCATCTGCAGAACGCAACTCAGATCTCGCATCTGGGGAGAAGCGACGGAAGGAAATGCTTCCACGGAGAAACGAGGTGAATAAAATATACAGAGAGCAAAGCCAAAGAGCCATTTACCACTGCAAGGAGTGAATTCAGTGAATACAATTCAGTGAAATAAAACATTTATAGAGATTTTCACAGTGTAAAAATTGATTTCTCGTGTATTTTTTTTCACCATTCATTGCAATGCGAATTTTGTGTTTTGCCCTTTTTTCCCCGTTGAATATCTTGAGGCTGATATGGGGTTGTTGGGGAATGAATCTCATTGGGCGGGAAGACAATTGAGTTAAATTGAGAGGCAAAAATTTCCAACCCCTAGAAGATTGGAGTGTGTGGGAGATAATTGAAAAGCTCAACATAAAATAATCAAATCAATTGTTACACATTTTTCTTCGTCTTCAATTTAACCTCGCTCGAGGGCGAAGAGAAATCCTCCGATATTCCTTGACGATAGAAAAGGGGGAGGGGAATTTTCAATCGTTTGAATGTTTGTGTGGGATGGAAATTCATATGAAATTCCTCATTCAAGAGTGGAGGGATGTTTTTCCAGATCCTTGTATACACCACCTGCCCGTCAAAAATGGCTCAAGCGGGTCGTGGTGTGGGTTGACAAGAAACGATGAAGATCATCTAACACATCACTCTCTGACTCTTGTACAAGATGAGTGTCGAAAAGGGCTTTTTTTACCATCTCATCCTCCACTTTTTCCGCCGTCAGTCCGTATACTCCTTTTCTTCGCTGGGAGCAACAACACAAGAAGTCGTGGAAGACTTGCATCATTTATTCAGTGGAATAAAAAGGGCGGAAGGGGGATTTGAAATACTCACAATCCTCGAGGAGTGACGGAAGGAGGAGCACGGCGGGGCGGTAAAGCTGTTAAAAAGCACTATAATTTCTTACTCCATCAAATATTTATTGATATGAATGGAGTGGAAAACTCTCTCTCATTTTTTTCCCACTGTTGTGTCTGTCTCGCACGCCGTGGTGTAAGACTTCCTGGTGTGGAGAAAGGCGCTCGAAAGCAAGAGTGAATATGGGAAAAATGAGTATGAAAAGTGTATTGAGGAGGAATGTTGGAAGGTGATTTTGGGGATTTTTTTTTTCCTTTCTCAT